TCAATCCAATCCAATCAATAAAGCAAAAATCGGTAAAGCAATAAATCTATAAATCCGTATATCAATACAGTAAACATGCCTTCAATACAATAATACTGAACAAGTACAATCAACTGGCTATGTTGCTGTTGTAGAATACATATTGCTGTTGTAGATATCCATACGTTGGTTTCAATAAAAAGAGTCGTCACTCTATTGCCCGTCAGCCGCCCGTCGGCATTTCTATAAGAACTCCTTATGACTCACATCCATACATCCATAATCGATGTTTAAAGGAAAGCCCGTCGGCCCACCATCCTGTACAGGTCAATCAATCTCCAACCAACGTTCAACTAGGTTCCACTTGTGTTCCAGTATTCAATAGTCAATCAATATTCAATTCAATAATCAATTCAATAATCAATATTAAAGCAATCATATCAATATTTATATACATAGCAATGCAATCTATCAATTTCAGACAAATCAGAAATCGTACGAAAATCGGGCAGAGTAACGGCAGTCTATCAAATTTACACAAAAATCCTACAAAATCATAATTCACCAAATTACAACAGAATGTTCACGACAACAATATAAGACTATTCTTCTACTGAATCCATATCAAATAACATCCTGATATTTTTCTATTCAATTAAAATCGAGTAGAATCAATTCCGACCGGTAAAATTATCGTAGAAAATACTCAAATCGTGTACAATATTCATATCTATAACATTCTAAAAGTTGTGCGGTGAAAGTTGTGTCAATACCAAATCAGGTCCAAAATTCGACTACGAAAACACAAAACAGATCACAACACGATCAAAACACAATATCTCTGAAAACAGAAATAGGATTCGGAGTCCTTACCACGAGATCTACACTTTCTCCAACAGCGGCGTCAGACGAAAAGCGCTCCGCGGCCTCCGAAACCCAAGATTTCCTTTACTTTTCTTCTCTTTCTCTCTCCTCAGATATTTCTGAATTTATAAAAATGATTTCTCTCTCCTCAAAACGAGCTGATTTCCTTATAACCTTAGTCTGATCGTCCTGGCCGATCGCGACATCGTCCAGGGCGATGTGACCAATTTCCAATCGTACTTGACGATTTTGCAGGACGATACAGGACGATAATTAATTTGCCAAAACCCCTTGCTCTCGGGATTTTGCCATACACTGATCGTCCCAGGACGATCCAAAATCGTCCTGGACGATCCAGTCCATAAATCATTCCATAAACACTCCAGAAATCAGCTGTTTTCAATGCACTGATCGGCCTGGACGATCTCAACATCGTCCTGGACGATCCTGGGAGGAAAATCCAATTCAGAGAGGAACAGTAAGGGAACGAGGTCTCACAGGAGACACCCAAGTCATGGGCCAAATGGCTAGCATGGGCCGAGTATTGGTACAACATCTCTTATCATTTTACTTCTTAGATGACCACATTCAAGATGTTGAACGGAAGGGATCCACCTCACTTGGTGCACTTTGACACAAAACACTCCAATTTCTTCAGTGGATGAGTAGTTTGAGGAGAGGGACAGGATATTGAAAGAGTTGAAGAGGCATCTACTGAGAGCTCAATAGAAAGAAACAAATAGATGAGCATAAGAAGGACATCAAATTTAAGGTAGGGGAAAGGGTGTTCTTGAAGCTCCAACCTAACAGGTAAATGTCAGTCGCCAACAGGAGGAAAGAGAAACTTGCACCAAGATACTTTGGGTCATATAAGGTATTGGAGAGGATTGGAGCTGTGGCTTATCGGCTGAAACAACCACCAATGGCGACTATACACCTGTTGTTCCATGTATCTCAGCTGAGTAGGGCAATTGGAGATTATGCAGCAAGCTCTGAGTTACCGGTGACACTAACTGAGGATTTAGAGGTGATTTTAGAACCCTTGGAGTTGACGGGGGTTCATCAAAGAGAAGATGGAGCTAAAGAAGTACTGATCAAGTGGAAGAGCCTCCCGGATGCCACATGGGAGCCATATGAGAGGGTGACATGCATGAGTTTCTTTGCTTTCACCTTGAGGACAATGCGATTCTTTGGGAATGTGGTATTGATAGGCCAGTTCTCACTGAACTGGCTCAGCCGGCCCAAAGAGGACCGGCTCTTGTATACAAGAGGCGGTTTGTCCGCCCCCTTATTGTCGTAAATCCTAGTGGGGTCCACTATGAAGAAAACTGAGGGGCAGATAGAGTTGGAGGGAATTTTTGATTGAGGAGTTTTGAATTCGAGTATTAAAAAAGAATAGATGTTTAGGGTTAGGGTTATGCTGGATTATTGTGCTCTCTTGAAGTTTCTTCTTGGTGTCTTTGGCTTTAGATTCATCTAGAGATTGGGAGAGAATGATCTTCCTCTCGAATTGAAGATCAATTGTATCTTTGCTTTGTTTTCTTCACTTGATTTGATTCCTACAATAAAATCTACTATTTTTTATTGTTTCATTGGAATTGTTGAATTTTTTTCCACTGGTTTTATCAATCTTGTTAGGATTTACTTGAAATATTCAAGTATTTCTTATCAGAAACAAATTAGATGATAATTAGCATTTGAATTACAATTTACAAGCAAAAAGTTGCAAATTCAAAATGTTACTGAGGATACACTTGAACTAAGGGTGTATGTGAGCCAAGCCGGCTCGAGCTTGACTCGATAACGAGCTTATGAGCCAAGCTTCTCAAACCGCGAGCTTGAGTTCGAGCTTGATGAGGCACAGCTCGTGAACTCGCGATCCCGGCTTGTAATAATATGTCAGATATTAGTTTTTTAAACATGCTATATTTTTTCTCTTAAAAAAAATAAAAAGCAAATAACTTTCTCTACTTTCCAAAAAAATTAGACTTTTCCTTTGCACGCGACTTTTCCTTTGCACGCAACAGACACTCTCCTCTCTAACGCAAGCATTCTTCGTCTCCGGCAATGAAGACCCACGTGATCTCAGGAGCTACTCGGGAGTTCTTTTTTTTTCCCATGAGCCAAGCTCGAGCTTAACTCGAGTTCAAGCTCTTGATTTGGCTGACGAGTCAAGCTCGAGTTAGCAAACCTTGCAAATAATCTGATTTGTCAATATACTCTAATATAGATGTACTGCCACCTATGATGCACCGACACTCCGTTTTAAGAGGCAGTGCAGTGTTGGACACGTGTCGGACACGGACACGTGCCCGACACAGCGGGGACACGTGTCCGACACGTTTTGACCGTGTCCAGAACTGTTTTGAAAAAAATTAAGCCGGACACGCGTGTCCGACACGCGTGTCCGGCTATTTCACATTTTAAATTAAAAAAAAAAAAAAAACATAAGAATTTTTAATATAATATTACCTTAATTTATATATATTATATTTAAAATTATTATGCCGTGTCCACGCCGCACCCGTGTCCTATATTTTTAAAAAATGCCGTGTCCCGTGTCCGTGTCGTGTCGTGTCCGTGTCGCCGTGTCCGTGTCCGTGCATCCTAGACTGCCACATTGACTTGAAGATACTCTAACATAGATGTGCTGCCACATTGACTTGAATTTCTTCCCCATTTACATCATCACCGAATGCATCATTCCAACAATAAATTAGCCTTTAACTGCTTTTCAAAACAATATACTTGCATCTACAAGCAAAAGCCAAGAAGTAAAGACAACTAAATGATAATTAGCATTTGAATTACAGTTTAAAAGTCAAAAGTTACAAATTCAAAATGTTACTGGGGATATGCTTGAACTAATGGACAAATATAAGTAAAAACAAATGGTAACATTTCCAATGAAACTTTAATTAACACATCATTTCTTTCGCAAAATCAGGAATGATATACCAAAAGCTTGTTATATTGTTGAAAAATTAAATCTTTTTGCATCTTGCACAATGCTTCTTTTGTACACTTGATTAATAGTTCTGAGAAGTCTATAAAAGATAGCAAGCTACCAGTTTTATAAATTTCACCATACACACAAAAACAACCAATTACTATGATAATTGCATTATTCTTTCACAAGAAAAAAAATATTTTAATATATGCATTGGGTATTACCCTCTCCGTCATTGCACTTTCTAATCCTGTTTCTTTCATTTCTATAGTAATTTGTGATTCATGTATAGTGCAGGCTTATGTTTCAGTTGAATTTAAATTCCTACTCCAACGTATTTGTTAAAACAAACATAGAATTAAAGAATAAAAGCAGTTAAAGATCATTAACAGAACAATGGCACTCAAGTATTTATGAAGACTCCATAAACAGACCTTACAACCACTCATCATCAGTACCTTTATTAGCATCATCTCATTCTTATCTAAACTATTATGGTTCAAATCCTACTCAAATCATTTTTTCATATTTAGGTGGAGAGCTATATTATAAATAAAACTAAGTCAAATCTGATGCGGTGCATCTATACTACGGTGCACCTGAGGAGTATTTTATCTACCAGCTTGTTTCTCTTTAGTTGCTGTTAGCACTAGTAAAGCATGTGGCCACTAGTTTTAATACTTTAGTTAGTTATATAGTACACTTTACACTTTTTGCTTGCAACCCCTGTTTTGGGAATACCGAAAGAAGAAGGAGATAGGTATATGAGCAAATTGTAGAGAGGAAGGAGGTAGTTTTTCATCTTGCAATATAGAACTACAGTTCTTGGTATTATTTGTCTTGTAATTTCTTCCTTGCAGGTTTTGATCCTCATCAAAATCTTTACAACAACTTACACCCCTTGCTTACTCTTTTTATGTATCTTACACTATCTTTCCCTCGATCCTATTATCCATAAGATTTCACTAAGATATACTATTACCATACCCCCATCTTCAAAATCTAACTTTCTTATGACTAAATATGCACTTTATGGCTTGTTTACTGCCCAGATTGTTATTGAAAGAAGCAAAGGTAATTACCAAATACCAAATATTCATATATTAGCTTCAATTAAATTAACTACTCTTCATAGCCCCTAATAATACTAGAAAGCTTATGTTTTATCAGCTATAATAAAATATAGAGGTCATGAGTCTCAACTCACCAATCCCAGGTTGCCAAAGACAAGCAGCCAATACTCCAGTTTGGCATCTAACATTAGCCGTGTCACAGCTCCCAGATTCTACGATTCCTTGACTACCTTTGGGCTCATTATCATTTGTTGGACCTTGAGAAGTCATGTCTCCTCTCTTCTCTGGATCCTGCGGCGCCTTATGGTCGTCCTTTATTGGAGATTGCACGGGCTTGTCACCTTCCTTTTTAGGAGTTTCAGAATCCGTATGCTCTTCCTTCGTTGGAGGATTCGTGGACGTATTAACCTTTCCGGATGCCCCTGGGTTCAAGTTCTCTGGTCCGGGAGGAGGCACTGATTTGATGGAACTATTCATCAAAGGTGAACTGTCAGAGCTAGAGGAATCAGAATTGCTAGAATTTGGCAACGATTGGCTAGGTTGAGGCGGCGAGGTATGAACCCGGTCCGTCGGCCCAACGTTTTGGATCGGAGGCGAGGTGGGAGGGGGAGAAGAAGCAACCTGTAAACAAACCCAATGATAATGACTTCCATGATGAAGTCTAAGACCTTACTCCAGATATCAAGTTTGATTCCATACCTTCTCAGCCTCATTAGGTTTCCCATCTCCCTTATCTTCCCCCGCCAAAGCCCGGTGCTTCATCTCAGACGAAGCATTCGACGCCACCGCAATGGCCAAAACGCAGAACATAGCCATGGCAAACACCTTACTATTATTTTCCATGATATATGTTCTTCAGATCTTACAGAACAAACTGGAGAATCAAGGCTTCAACAGCTTGTTAATTGAAGACGACATGGCTCAGCAACAACCACATCTTCAAACGTTAGACCAAAGTATTATCGGGCAACTGGATTCCCCCGGGACCAGCTTCCCGCCGGCACCAATCAAATCCCCCGAGATCGGCTTCGCGCAGACGAAGAATCGGCACAACTAGGTTTCTGCTAATTGTTTCGGATGACTTGGAGATTGAAAGAGAAGGAAGAAAGGAAGACTTATCTCTGGGAGTCGTCGAAGGAAGACGCCGACTACGATCGAAGAAGACTGCTAATTGTTCGGAATCTGGAAGTGAAGGATGGAAGTACGGGTTTACAGGTCTGGATTAACCTTTAACGAGTTAGGCTCTGTTTGGCACAGCTTTTTAAATTAATTTTTAGTAAAAAAAATTAATTTTAAAAATTCAAATTATTATCATAAAAATTTATCTTGATCGGGCACTAATCTCAAAGCAGAATCAAGTTAGAAACTTCAAAATTTAAATTCAGGATCACCTGAACTTAGATTTTAGCAAACTTATTGTCGAACTGAATGTCTGGGAAATACAAGCCCAAAGTCACCAAATTCAACTCAATCCGAGCCTAAATGAGTACAAATCAAAGACCTGAAGCACATTTGGAATGTTCAAACCATAATTTAGATTACCAAACAGTTTTCAAACATGACATGGTTATAGTCGAATCGAGCAGCTTGATGAAACAAATCCAACGAGCCCAAGATCGCCAAACTCTAATATCATTAAAACATTATAATGTCCGGTAAACATTGAATGATCAAAGAAATCAACATCGCTCGTCCCTTCAAACCACTCCCAATTTACCCTTAATCTTCCTCTTATTTACTGGTCATGCCACTCTTAGACAACTATAAATATACCCCTCATTTCTAATAAGAGGGGGCCAAGCAAGGAAGAGAATGAAGAAAAGAAAGAGAATGAAGAAGAGAAACTTGAGTTCTCTTACCACCAAACTCCTCGACCACCGCCAGACTTCCACCTAACAACCAACCGACCCCAGACTTCTGCTCGACCACCGACTGACGTCGAACTTCCACACGGTAGCCAACCATCATCGAACTACTACCCGACCACCAACTGACGCTGGACTTCTGCCAAACCGTCAATTAAAGTTGGATTCCCGCTCGACTACTAAATGTCATTGGATTTCCGATCTCTGCTCGTAATTGGATTTCAACACGATAGTTAATTATTGTAATCATTTCGTCCTTAATTTCAGGGACGAATCGGCCACATGTAATCTAATCAAACACTAGTATAATCGTTTCAACTCGGCTAAGCCTATAGTTTTTCCCTTTTCCAGGGTTTTCCATGTAAATATATATATATATATATTCATTCATTAGCAACTAATTTTAGAACATATAAGTTAATGAGCTGAACAAAAAAGAAAAGCTTGTTTGCTTAATGAGTCAAGCCAAACAATATTTGAACTTACTCAAATTTGACTTAGGCTTCATTTGTGACAGCTTTAGGCATTATTTTTTTTTATATTTTTAGATATTTTTGTTATAAAAGCTGTTTTATAAAGCAATAAGAAAGCAATCTCAAATGAAGTTTTATTCATACACTATAGAGTATAGACCATGTAGTCTTTCTTGGTCTGTTGGTTGGAAGCTTAGTCTGCTAATCAAAATGTCTTGAATTTGGTATTACTTATTCATTGTAATGAATTTTACCATTTTTTTTTCTTATGAATTTTACAATTTAATTCCCCCAATTTTTTTATTTTAAACATTCTAGTTTAAACAAATCGATTACATAAATAATTAGTGACGGAAAAATCACCATAAAAAACACATAATTCTAGTACAGACATCCTCAAAAAACTGTTAAAAAAAAAAAAAAAAAGATCAGCTCCATTTGGTAGCTTGAAGATTATCTTCTTAACTGTATAGGAAAAAAATATAAAATTTAGCTGAAGTGGTCTTCCAAAATCTTAAGTATGCATTCAAAGATAACTAAAAGTTTTATTATCTTTCCAGATATTTTGTCTCCACACCCAATACCAAAAACCCTTCTACATATTGTCAACAAAATCATTTATAAAAATATTTGATTTAAAAAAAATAATGTTAATAAGTGTGTAATTTACTCTAGGTGATTGATGTGTGGCTTGTTTTTTTCATCATTTTGTCTATCTTTTATCATATGCTAGTGATGTGTCATCAAATAATTTTTATGATGAGGCACGAATCTCAAAGAAAATTTGAATTGAAAATTTTTACATTAAATATGGGACTGTGAGAACTCCGACTTCAGTAAACTTAGAGTCAAACTAAATGTCTCTAAAAGATGAACTCAACGACACCAAATTCGACCCAATTCGAGCCCAAATGAGTCTAAATCAAGGGCCGGAAGCACATTTAAAAGAATCAACTCATAAATTAGATGACTAAATGAAATCCAAATGTGACATGCTTATAGTCGAATCGAGCGGCTCGGCGAAACAAATCCAACGAGCCCAAGATTACCAAATTTTGGCATCATTAGGGCACTTAAATACTCGATAAATAGTTCATAATAAAAGGAAACAATATCGGTCGTCCATTCTAAACACTCTTAACATGCCCTTGTTTTTTTCTATATTTACTAGACATGTCACTCCTAGAAAACTATAAATAGCCCCACATTCATCACTGAGGAAGAGGGAGGATAACACAAGGGGGAACGAAGAGAAGAAAGAAAGAGAAATATGAGATCTCTCTTGCCACTAAGCTCATCCTCGACCACCACCCAACCACTAATTATTGTCAGACTTCTACCCTGCCACTGACTATCATTGAACTTTCTCCCAACCACCATCTGGTGTCGGACTTCTTCATGGACATCAACGTCGCCTGCAAACTATGGTCTTTCTAACCTCTGCCGCCTAACTATGATCTTTCCAACCACAGTCACCGACTGCAGTCTTCCAACAAACATCACTCGTCGACTATGGTCCTACCGACTAAATGAACATGTCAACACTAATTCTTCAAACTCCCACAATGTAATGCAGCTTATATGACGTGTATATATTACATCAAGCCAAGGCCTTCCCCCCAAGAGAGGGCCTCATTTGTAATCAACTACAAAAATTAATTGATTTATTTAAACTAGGTCAGGCCTCGTTGTTTTTCCCCCTTTCCAGGGGATTCCATATACATCACCCTTCTCTTTCATCTAATTGTATGAAGGATCTTCGTACAAGGCTAAGACGTTAAAATTTTATATTTTTCTACAGCCACGAAAAATTCAGGATACAACAGTTTGGCAACATTTGTGAGAATATGATTCCTAGTTTGGGGAGATTTTTTCTTTCAATCTTAAGAGGTCATTTCACTTCAACATTCTGGGTATGCTTAAAGTGATATAGTCTTTTTTACCATGACCTATTACCAGGTTTGAAAGAAGTCCTTTAATATTGAGGATAACTTCATTGCAATAGTAAACATAAATTATTTTTTATCTCTCAACATCAGTTATTGCTGCATCAATTACATGGGAAGTAAATCTAGATTGGGGGGAAACCTTGGCTGTAATCTTAAATATGATTTGATTAGCAAGCCCCTTAAATAATGTCAAAGTACCAACCTTAAAAAAGTTGTAATTGTATAAATTCATATCATTCTTCACCTTTGATTCATGATACATGCAGAATTCACCCCCTCCCATTCAAGGCATAAATAATTCCAGGGGGATTCGATTCAACTTTTTTTATACAAGTTAATATTATTAAGCTATGCTCTAACAAACATCTCTTATAGGTCAAACATTTTTGGTGGATTCTCTTGACCTCTTCCATATAGGTTAATATCATCGAACAATGCTCTAACAAACAACATCAAATAGATCAAACATCCCTAGTGAATTCTCTCAACCTCTTTCACATAGGTTAACACAATCGAGTAATGCTCTAATAAATAATCTCAAATAGGTCAAACATCATTGGTAGATTCTCTCGACCTCTTCCACATAAGTTAACGTCATTAAAAAACATTCTAACAAATAACCTTGGATAAGTCAAACATCCTTAGTGGATTCTCTTGACCTCTTTCACATAGGTTGACGTTAGCTAACAATGATCTGACAAACAACATCGGATAGGTCAACATCATTACTTATCAAATTTCCCCAACCTCTTATAGGAAAATTAAACATCAACAAACAATGATATGAAAAATAACCTTGGATAAGTCAAACATTCTTGGTGGATTCACCCAGCCTCTTCCAGTCATCTTAATGTCATTAAGCAATGCTCTGACAAACAACCTCAGATAGGTCAACATCCTTTTTGTATTTATCTCAAACTCTTAAATTCATCGAGTAATACACTAACAAATAACCCCAAGAAGACTTGTCTATAAGGTAGTTTCAAATTAAAGCTAGTAGCGGATAATGTCCTCACTAGCTAGAAAGACCCCATTAGGGTATGTGGCCGACATGGTCTCCACTTATAATCTAAGGAAGTTCTTCCTGTGAGGTAGCCTTGAAGGGAAGTCGGTAGTAGATAAAGGCCTCGCTAAGTAGGCTCTAGGGTCACCACTTATTCGAAGACCTTAAAAGGTTAAAATTCTTAAAAGGCATAGGTACACTTAAAGAACTTTGAATGTTAAAAGCTTCAAAAGGCATAGGTACACCAAAAACCTTAGAAGACTAAAAGCCTCAAAAGGCATCAGAATGCAAAAGACCTTAGAATGCTAAAAGCCTCAAACAGCATAGGAACATCTATAAACCTTATAAGGTTAAAAACCTCAAAAGGCACACTTATCATATATACAAATGACCTTAGAAAATTAAAAGCCTCAAAAGATACAGGTATACAAAAGACTTTCAAAGACTAAAAGCCTCAAAAGGCACAGGTACATCAAAATCTCAAAAGATTAAAAGCCTTAGAAGATATATGTATTTGATTATTTAAAAATCTCAAAAGACTTAAAAGTTGTAAAATAATTACAATTCTTCTAATTTAATTGCTCTAATAGAGGGGGTGGGGGAGTTCATAATTCAAAGTTATTCATTAATTCAAGCAAACATCAATATCATACAACTCTCTAAGATAAATAAAGAGATATAATTAGATAGTTCATAATACTACAAAAATTATAACATACTCATTATCATTTGAAAATACTTTTTCAACTCCCTTTCATTACTACTAACACCCGAATTTGGAGGACAATCTTTGGATGACTGGTTGGGAGTTAGCAAGTCATTTATAACCTTAGTCCAAGTTGTGTCGATCGATCTCTTTTCAAGAAGCAACAAGAAAAGCCTTCCTCAAGACTTTGGAGTATCATATAATTTGTAATGAACT